AAAATAATAATTTACAAGTTGACTTCTAAAGTTGTTAACTAAAGCTTGGCTGTGTGGTTCTGGTACAGTGCCTGCTTCCCTAACAACAATTAAATAATTTAGCTCCTCATTAATATCTGCAAGCAAAAGTGGATCTTCTTCACCCATATTTTTTGCCATATTATATGGAACTTGCATATTGCATAGCTTTTCGGCTCTTGTTGCAGGATTAACTAAAAGGGCTAACAAATAGGATCTAAGACCATAGCCACTGTCACCCGTAATAAAAAAAAAACAAGAAAATATACTAAACGGTCCCTAATCGGGCGCTAATCAGCCAAAAAGTGCCGGTTAATATAACCGTTGTTTAGAATACACAAAACAGTGGTTAAGCGACGGTACAACACATTTTTCAAACTAAACGACGATTAAATTTTTAATCACTGTTTAGTCAAACGGTGCAACCGGGCATTAGGGGTCGTAAAGTTCGCTTTAGTAGTATTCTACCGGAGTCATTTAGGTACATCAGACTTCAGATAATGATGATCTGAGTGATTTTAAGAAGATAAATCGCTCCGGAAATGTTTTGACTTGATTTTCTCTGTGCATGATTTGGTTAATTTGTTTCATACTTTACGTCCCCACTGTATCGGTTTTGTTATATTAGTTATGTATAGAAATCATTACGCCAACATCATACGTTTTCTATCCTGCCGGAATAAAACTTTGTCATACAAAATAATGATCAAACCGCTTCAGTGTGCGAACCGAAAGTTACTGGTTATTTGGAAGCTCAAGTCCGCTATAGCTCGAATCGGATAACGAAGATTAATGCAGAGGAAAATTTAATAAACCAGCAGTAACTTCTGCAAGTGCGGTGGCGGAGCCTCTTTCCTGCTGCCGCCACAAGCCACATGTCTGTCGGTCGCGTGCCAACGAAGACCCAAAAGTGACGTAACACAAAGGGGCAGTAATCATCTGCTTGTACCATATGCTAGTATGCATTTTCGATATCAAAAGATAGCTCGATTAAATGGCAGTATGCTTCCAATACTCTCTTCATATCAAGAAATTTTTAAACGGAAAAGACTAGATTGAATCAAGTTCATAGGAGGTCATCCAAAATTGTAGGTGCGTAATTGTTTTTGAGGGGCACGGCTTACTTAAAGAGTCCGAAAAAAGCAAAAATATTAACGCATCAAAAACATTTCGAGAAAAATTGAGGATCTATGACATCATTAAGAAAACCTACGGACGAAATGAATAAAACTGAAGCTTATTCAGCAATATTCTCGGACTTGTCAAACCACCTTCGTATATGATAGCTTAAGGGTCCCAGAAGGTGTAAAACCAGGGGCGCAAAAAAAGGATGAATAACTTTGAGCCTGGCAGGAAACTTAAAAAGCTCTTTTTTCAACAATTTATTATGCAAAAATTGTACGTTCGATCTTAATCGTCCTTTCGATTTGTGTTGCAGTCAAGTACTTTTCTCTAAATGCATGCCGTAATTGGGTTATTTTTTGATTGTTAAATAAATAATTTTAAATTGCTGTTTCAAATATGCAACTTACTTTGTCAATAACAGCAAAGTCAAATTGCGACTTACTTTGAAGCTCCTTACACAAAATGTACTCCAACATCGTATTTGCGAATATGCGATTAGGTAGTTTAGTCCCACTGGAAGTGTGAACAAAACAGTCGTAACGGGATTTAAGTAAAGTAAAGTTGCTGATGCCTTCAAACTATTAACAACATCGGAGTTAAATTCTTCAATCAAGGCAAAGCCTTTTAAAAAAGATTTATTTTGAGAACGACGAGTTACAGCAATAGTGTACTTGTGACAACTGATAACTTATAACTGAACTTATGCTAAGATTGCAATTGGTATTTATAAGCTAAAACTGCTGAATTGGTGCAACTATGCATTTACTTTGCTGATCAATTAGTTACAGGGTTTATAACTCCTCCCTTCTTAAAAAACGCACTTACAGTGAGTTTAAGTTTTATATAACTAATTCGGGAGTTTCACCTTTTTGGCAATTAGCATGAATTCTATTTAATCTAAATTTATTATACTTTTTATATAAGAAGGTTAATACAATTATTACGAATATAAAGTATAACAATATTGTCCAAAAACTGGATTTTTGGAAATATATGGGTTGAATGTYATTTAATTTTTGATTGTTCACATCAAGAGYATTTTGGATTTGTTTAACATCTTCAAATCGTCTTTCGCTTAATTGAATGCTGTCGAATTTAAGCGGTTTTTATTGGCTTTCAGAAGTTTGAACATTAATCTGTGGCAATTCTATGACTTTGAATTGGTTTTTCGAATTTTGATAAGTTTTTAAATGATAATTATTTATTTGAATTTCACATGAAGGGTTTAAGTCGATTACAAATGTACTCTTTATAGGAATGTTGTCTTGATTAGAAGCGCATTTTTGTATGGTGATTGTTTGATTAGGGCTCACTATCATCCACTTCTGATGATCTAATTTCTCAATCTTGATGTCTTGAAGTTCGATTTCATGTTGTTGGCATTGTGAAGTATTTTGGCTGTACTTCAGCATCTGTACTTCACATGGGGGTAGTGGGTTGGTTTCTTTACAGATGTATTCTCTGTTGGTGATTTCAATGCAGTTTTCGTTAAAGATGGCATAATTCAGCTCATTAAGGATAATGTATTTGGCTTGAGGGAAAATTATTTTGAAGTGTTTGCCATGAGGTGTTGGTAATGGATACAAGTGATACAATATGTATTTATTAGTATCTACAATGGGCAATTCGATTATGAATACTATTTGATTTTGTTTTGAATAGCTTTTAATTTCCAGTCGTTTTTCGAAAAGCAAGGCATTCTTTAATTCGGTGGAAAATGGAAGATTTCCGTGATTTAATTTATTTGAAACAAGCTTTATTTCTTCATGTAGTGCCATTGGATCAATTATTGAGTTTTGAAATGTATTTAACTTGGCAAATGTAGTTGCTATTTGCAATCTTCCAAATACGACATATATTTCTTGAAATGAAGTAATTATCTGAGTGATTAGCATATGTATTAGAAAGTAGTGGTCCATGGTTGATGTTTCGGAATCTAGTGAAGTGAGAGCTTTCTCAATTTGTAGTATTCGTGACTTTAAGATAAGCTGGTTGTGTGAGATATTCTTTGATAAAGCCAAAAACAAATCATTTGACTTTTGAACGATAGTTACTTATTCTTGCAATGTAGTTTTCATATTCATTTGATTATTTGAAATTTGGGAGATTAATCTGTCATATTTTTCAGCGTCTTCATGGTCAAGGTTTCAAGTTAATGATTTTATGATTAAACCTAGTCCATCGATTAGTTCTTGTTTGAATAGTTGGGTTTATTTGATTTATCTGACTTTCAATTTTGTTTTCTAGAACGAAGGCTAGATTATAGGAGTTGTGAAATTCTCTATAATAAGAAGCTGTTTTATTCAGTGAACTAGTTATTTCTTTCA